GACGACGACGACGACGACGACGACGACGACGACGACGACGACGACGACTCTTCTGATGACGATAGTGACTCGGCGTCTAGTGACGACGATTCAGAAGCAAGCGACGTCTCTGGCTCTGATGTGGATGGCAGTGACGATAGTGGTGACGATGATGATGATGAAGACGGCGACGACTCAGACTCCGACGGTGAGGAGGAAAAGGAGAAACAGCCGCCGGCTAAGCGGGCCCGGAAGGAAGTGACGGTTAAACAGTTGCGCAACGCTCAAAGACACCAGCCGGGGATCAGCCGCTTCGACGATTTGTAGTGGAGGCGCTGACAACAAGCATTTTAAAAGAAGGTTTTTTAGTGAGGAGGCCACCGTTTCGCAGAAGATGATGAAGCGTGCTTCTAGCCATATTGTAGCATGCTTTCTGGCGCAAGATAACGTTGCCTGCGAGCGATTATCAATCATACAGATCGGTAAGTCAATGATCCTCGCTCTATAATATCTAATAATCGAACACTTATTTAATCAAGTCACTTTCATAATTGTGAAAAGTAATTTACTCTGGCAGCGTACTTCGTCCTTATCACTTTTAACAAGGTATAACAAAGTCATGAAAACACTTACAACAGAGTTCTATATATGAACGAACTTATTTTGCAAAAAAGTGTCTCAAGTGTTAGTACAACTTCCTACCTCAGTCCAATGCACTGACTGAGAAAGCCAATATCGACGAACACTCAATACATGGAGGATGTGGGAAGACACTTGTTCACTAAACAAGTGGCCGGTGGTCCAAACATGATTGATAGCGAACCATAGGAGTTATGCATCATCAGTCTAAAAATAAAACCAAGCTGTAGAAGCTGGACCTTGTTGAACAACAACCGAAACTTTCTTTCTGAAATTGCATTAGTATCTTTCTATCGCCTGTAGAAATGACTTGTATGTTTTTGCAATGATTTGACGGAAGTCTATACCGGTTTTATTCGAGTTCGACCCACTTAATTTTCTCAAATGATTTAAAAATTTTTATTTTTAACCTTAGTTGAGCATTGATATTTGATTTAAAAACTAATTGATTATCTAAAAAATCACAAGTATTTGTGAAGCCTCTGGTCTCGAAACAATGCGGTCTGAGAAAGCCCCCACGGCGAAAAACTATAATGTCCCACAGAAGCATCATTGACATCAATGTAATGATATAAAAAATCAAGCTTATTCCTAGTGGCTTAATGGCAAAGCGTCTGACTACGAATCAGAAGATTGCAGGTTCGAGTCCTGTCTGGGAAGTCAAGAGACTTAACAATCTCGGTAGAGCTTAGTTTTTGTGGTTTCAGATTATACCATTCACGGATGTCCATTTCATTTCTTCGCTTTTCTATTTTTTTCTGGATGCGCACATTCTATCTACACTCCCTATAGTTATTGGGAATAGTTGAACCGACTATGAAGAACAATAAACCTCTTGTCCATAGATTGTCACAGGGAAAAGTGTTCATCTTTACCCGGTGCACCTCACTATTGATACCGCCGAGGTGCTTTCGATTCTTGTTGACCAGTACGTTTCGTTGCACGGTGTCCCCAACTCCATTCAAACTGACAATGGACCTCAGTTTAAAAGTCGTGACTTCCAGGCGCTTTAAAACATCTTGGGGCTGAGCTGAAAATGGGGGTTGCCTATCACCAACAGTCCAACGGACGGGTTGAAAACCGAAACAAGATGCTCAAGACGTTTCTCCTGTTGTACGTGTCGAAAAACCTGGACCGGATTCAATTGCTCCCCATGGGCGAGTTCGCGTTGAACGCACAACTGGGCGAAACCCCGCAAACCAGAGTTGCTGTTGGACGACGTTTGCCGAATGTTCCCCGACGTCGAGTTGATCCCATGCAACTATCGGAAGGACAAAGTGATGGAGTTTGCTCCTTCTAACTCAAGAAAATCTTACGGCGTTTACGTCGCTCCGTGTATTCTTTTTGAAAAAATGTGCTTATGAACTTCTAGTTGTAGGTTGATCAAAGATACCCGCTCAATAAAGGAAGCAGAGAAAAGCTATACCAACTTGTAGACACAATCAACGTGGTACGTCATTCAAGTTTTGAATCGTCCTCTGACATAGCTGGTAGGTAGTACTTATGTGGACGTAAACAAATCATTGCACTTAATGCTTGAGGGTGGCCGTCATGATGAAGGCCGGCCGCCAACCTCATGACTCAAGCATGCGGAAAGCGCACGCCTTCCCCTCGTGATCGATCCTTGACTGTGGAACTCGACTAGTGCGAGTGTGGAACGCGCCAGCACGTCGCCTCCGCGGCCCCGGTGTCGATGGACCAATCACAACCGAAAGTGTGAAGCCATCTCATGTTCGGAGCGACATTCAGGCTCAGGTGTTTTGTCAGGTGTGTCGTCTGTGCTTCGACCGATGCCGGTGGATGCGACTGCCTCAAAGGACCTCAAACGCTCATTCAGGAAGGTGCCGATTGTGGTATGCACGTACCTGCATGTTGAGAAGCAGTGGTCAACTGGCCTGTGGTAGACCAGCTTCTGGAGGCTGAACTGCGGGGAGGTCTCATATCTTATTATTCTCGTCTTGTTAAGGCCACGCTCTACCACACTCTCGCCCACGATGAGACACCCACCGTGCAGTGCTCGTGACGCATAAGTGAAGACGACAGCGGGCCTCGAGACAATGGTGGAGGCGCTGGCGCACACGCTGAGTTATATTTGTTTGGCCTCCGCTGAGGTAGGTAATTTATGACAATGTGAGGCGGCCGCTCCAGCACCGCCTCCATGACAACGGGGGCTGTGGTCTCCGCTGCATGACCTCGACGAGCTCTGGAGCTATCGAGACCAGGGAAGTGGCCAGGAGGTCCCACTGGCAGCATGCGGCTGGTTGTGGGCTTTGTGGTCGGGATCTGGAGATGCTGTGGTTTGGACCCGCCGCAAACGGATGCAGACTCTAGCCAGGGATGCCTAGTGCACTTGAGCCCCGGCTCTAGCTGGCGAAGGCTTTAAAAGCCCTCAGCTCCCGCAAATGAATTTTTTCTCTTCATTACCACTCCAAGATTGAATTTCCTAGCCCCCCTTCAAATGCGTGGGGCCTGCTGCTGTTGCTAGTCGCTGCTCAGGACGAAGAAGGTAAACTCTGCTGGCTTCGGTTGGCAGGGGGATCTGAACCACCGTCTCACCCCACCAGTACTCGATTTGTCATCGTCTTCGGGCGAAACAAGAGCTAAATACTCTAATGGCATTCGGGTACTGGTCACCCCAGTGCTACGGCCAAGTGGGTGGGGCGATGGTTCTTTGACGCATCCCGGCGTCATGGTTTGGGAGTACTCAACCATGGCGTTTTGGTGATGTGACCGCAAAATAGACCGGTTGTGGGCAGGGCATTTGGTGTTCTTTTTATTTTTTTCATTTATCCTTTTTTTCTTTATAGCGAATATTATGATATGTTATCTGTTAAATGCATCCCTGTAGTCGCTCAGTTGATACTGTCGCCAAACACGCCTCCGTTTTGCCACTGGCATGGACGGCTTCACGTCCGCGCCGATTGTCGCTATATGGAGCTGTAGTGGTCATTAGATTTAGAGGTATCGATGGGGGTTAACCTGTTGATAGATTTTTGTGGTGTACTTCTTTAGAGTGCTTTGTCTATTAAGAAATTTATTATTACAAATGATCAGCACCCTAGAGCACGATGCCATAATTGCGATAGATATGGACTGGGGTCGTCGTGTACGATGGCATGGCGTGTGGTGGGGTGAGCTTTAGCCATGGTTTTCTTTGCAGCAGTGAGCGCGCTCGCAAGGACGACGCCACTGTTCATTTTGGGTCACGGTATTGCGGTCGTCACCCCAGCGGGCGTGCCCGATTCTCCCCGTCTCCACATTCCTTGTTGTGGGGATTATTTTTTACTGATCGATGGGCAGAATGCACCGCGGCTAAAAGTGACGATGTCCACCGCGCTGTGAGGCTGCTTGTAACAAAGCTACCGGGTAAGGAAATGCATCCGGGGCTGGGCTAGACTCAACAAGCCCTTCTTCACGAAGATTTATGCTATCGACCCTGGCGACTCCAGGGAGGTCAGCTGTCATACCCGCAGGCGGATGCTGGGGCACTGGGAGCAAATCGAGACCGCCGAGGTCGGCAGGTTCCCCACATCTCGCCGATTCGACGAGTTGCGCACAGTCAAATTAGTCAACGTGGTTGGCGGGATCTATCCCACCTTCAAAGAACTCCACTGTCCTAAGCTCGAAGAGGTTGTACTTTGCCACAATGTCAGTCGCGACATCAGCGAAATGTTTTCTGACGCCCAACTAGACCAGTTGACGGTGCTCAAGCGACTGGGGATAATTGTCAGCAACATGGAGCTTCTCGCAAACATGAAGGTCTTGTACGTGAGGGTGGCGGAGACGGTCACGGAGGCTTTCTTCTTGCCGGCGTCGGTGACCGAGTTGGGGGTGTGGCTGACGTGCGGCGTCGACGGCATCCCGCCGCAACTCAAGGTGTTCGAGTACCAGGATGTCGTGACCGTTGACGGCGCTCCATATGAAGTTGCTGTGGCTTCGCAGAGCCTCGAGCGCATGGTAGTCAACCGCGCACACGATGTGACGATTGAGTGTCCCCACCTTACCTCGTTATCGGTGAAGTGGGTGGCGGAACTTGGCGGACTTGTGGCTCCGAAGTTGGAGACGTTGGAGGCAACCAAGACGCTGATCGCCTTGGAAGGGCTTCCCCGGCTTGAACATGTTGTGATGAGAGGGAATGGGCCTGAGGACGGAAGCCATGAGCAACGAGTTGTCGTCAGCCATCGGCTCAAGTCTGTTACCATCGAGCACATGGTGTTGCTGGAGGTCTAGATAGTTGCAGATGAAGTTTCGTTCAAACACTGCAAGTTGAGAAGGCCACCACTGATCAAAGCCGAGACGTTGACGTCGTACGGGCTGGAATTCGACACGAACGAGGTGGAGTGCAGAGAGTTGCGTTGTGCCAGATTTGAAGCTGCCAATTGGCGAGTTCCCCGTATGGTTGAAAAGTTGGTGGTTGGTTCGTGGGATTTTAACCAGTGGCCTGATCGCGGGGCTTGGGACCACGTTCACGAGCCACCTCCATTTGCTCACTGCAACAGACTCAAGGAGCTCACCATCAAAAAGGTCAACCTCAAGGACATGCACATGGTTGCGATCCCGCTTCCTGCCACGGTGAAGCACGTCAGAATGGAGGAGTGGGGCAGGAGCAAGTTGCATATTGCGGAGGACACCGAGCTCGCATCTTGAATGCTGGAGCAAGGCGACCCTGGACCAGTTGGGAATCCACAAGTATCCATTCTCGACTTTTTTCTCAAGACTGATCAGTTTCATCCGGTATCGGGTTGGTATTTAGCGTTACCGCACCTGCAGAAAACTACACATCAGAGTAAGGATACCTGAGCTTTTACGGGTAGTGTGGCTTTAGTAGTGATTAAATGGATTATTTTTGAGACTTTCGCTACTAAATTAGATGAACTGTGCTTTTCTATACTTCATCCATTAGTATTGCAAATATCATCAACGCGATTTGGTTGTCATAGCGCACACTTGCAAGGAATGCGAAATGATCGAAAACTAACCAGAAGAGCAAAAATCATCCATCTAGTGGATTTAAATGGATCAATTGTCTGAGTAAAAAAGATGCGCAAACCCGGAATCGAACCGGGGGCCCAACGATGGCAACGTTGGATTTTACCACTAAACCATTTGCGCCTTTCTACGATATTTCCTTTTTGAAAGAGAAGGTACAGAGCAACATTATGCTATCAAGGTATGCTGCAACTTATTTAGCAGGCCCAACAAACATCTTGATCTTGCGAACACCAAGGTAAATATGAAAACTATTCACTGCGATTATGCAAAAACCACATTTGCCGACCCTATCCAGAAATCAATCTTACTCCTCCAATACTCGCTTACTGGTAATTTCCCCAAAATTGTTTATCAAATTGAAGAGGAATAAGAAGGACATTTTCTAGCAATTCACTGTCATTGCTCAGACCGAAATTATCTGCCGTTACTGCCACATCCCTGGACACAGCATCAGGGATTGCAACAAAGTCTGCGACACTTGTAAGCAAAAACACAAACGTCGCTACCGTCGTCGATCAATCACCTGCCTGTCATGTAACTCAAAACACTACGGTCACGACATATTCAACAAACGCCCCGAAACCGTATCTTCACCAGCTGAGATCGCCGAAAGAGATATCGCCAACCCCACCGGTCCCAGAGGTCACAAGCGCAATGTGGCAGGTACCGCTCAACGCCCCGATCAACAGAGATTGAACAATAGACCTACTACCGTTGCCCAATCTCAATACTTTCCTGCTTACAACCTGACGGAATCCAACGCTGAAGAGTTCCAGTCCCCTAAGAAGACGGCTAAGCCAGTCACCCAAACTCCGACCCCCTTCGTGTCAAGCCAACCGAACTTCCACGCCGCCCTCTCAGTAGAAGAACCCGACGCTGACGGAGAGGCTGAAGAAGCGCCCAAAAAAAAGCAGAAGCTACTAATGGTGTTGACGACGAAGATGAAGACGTGACAGCAGACCCCGACTACACGGATGACGGGGCTCTGAATGAGGATGACGAGGAGGATGATGATAGTGACCGCGTCAGGAGTCCCGACGAGGATATTGCCCCTACCGGAGAGCAGTATAACCCTACCACCATTCTTTAAGCAAACAGGAGTGTATCTGTTTTAGCAGATGATGTTTGCTCGGGACCATAATGGATATCACGCTTCTGAATAGAAGAAATCAAGGTTCGATTCCTTGTGGGAACGAGTTAAATATCTCCCTGCTGGCTGAACAACTTCTTACCATTACACATATCACATTGATGGGACGAGCACACTATTACTTCCTCACACCGCAAGATCAGGCTGGTTTTTTGTATGAGGGAGTAACACTTGAGTATCCTCAAAGATGAACCATTGAACATTTTTACAGCTTAGATCCAAATGCAAACGATTAGATAAAAAACAAAGCTAGGCATACAATATACCTTGAAGTAATTCGAACTTACACTGAAGAAGCTGACTACACCCACGAAGCTCCCAGTTTCATCTTTGCCCTTGAATCCTGCCTCAAAGTGCATATCGAGAAGCACGATCACGAAGGGAAATTAAGTTTGACCAAGCAAAGACCGCTGCTGAACGGCGTGGCTGGCTCTGGCGTGGCTGGCTCAAGTGCTCGGTTCAGCGATGGTCCTCCGAGTCACGCCCGCACCAGTCACCGTGACTCTGCCGCCCACAGCTTCGCCCCGCCCGCCCATCTTCGCCACACGCATCTTTGCCGGCACCCCGAAGCCGTATGGGACGGTGACGGCAACCGCGGAGCTGGCGTCGACGTTGGCCGCTGCGCTTGCCGCAAACGCTGCCGTGGACTCTGCAGCCTGAGGTCGTTGTCGTGCGTGGGGGCTCCCTGATAGGGCGCTACATGATGTTGTAACAGACCTGCTGTTTATATTGTACTATCTAAGATTATATATTGGTGTGGGAAAAGAGTACTCTTGGGGTATGAGGTTACTCAGGGACCCAAAGCAACACATATCCGTGGCATAAGACTACCCTGTGCGTCCAAGTTTACTGCAGGGACTGAGGGAGGAGTCAAAGCCCGTGTCTAGGGTGCTCAAGAGACGTGAAGGAGAAAAATTTCACCAGGCGCGAAACTCCTTTATATATATTGGTGTCCTGCACCGTGGACAGACTTTCGGGGTCGGAACGCCGGCGGCGTGGCTGGCTCTGACGTGGCTGGCTCTGTGCGAATAAATCGGTGTTTGACGCCTTCTAAAGTTCTTAGCAATAGTTTGAAAGATAGTTCGAAAGGCTTAGTGTCTGCTCCCGAGTGCAATACAAGTTTGCAATGCCTCAGTGTTTTTTCTGGCTGCTTTGATTTGCTTTCATTGATAGAATTTTAGGGGAATAGAAGCAATAGAGGTTGAAGCAGTGTATCAAGCGAGTTGCTTAGCTTGTCACAGCTCAATCAACTGGATCAAGGTTTTGCTTAACGGCCTGTATATAACATCCCGCGTCAGTCGTCAACTCCTGCATACAAGATATCCCCGCTCGTCTAAAATTATTCCAAATTTTTTTCTCAAGTTTTTTTTTATGATTTTTTTTTTGTCCGAAATCAACTTCTGATGTTTATTACACATATATTTAAACAGAGCGGAACATAGATTTAGACTCAGATTTCACTCAACTTGTCTTATCATTGGTAAATACTTGCCTTGAAAGTCATCCGCTACATGCAGGATCAACATGAGAACGCACATAAACGTCTGTCAGATAACTCAGTAAATTGAACGTCAGCCTGCCCAGATATTTATCTACGGTACTTCTGATGCCAAAGAATTTTATTGTGCTAGTTACAGGTCTGAACCAATTTTCCTTGATTTTATATCACACTTTGAAGTTTTTCATACGAAAAATCAGAAAAATCCCATTTACTGTTGTAAATTTTATTTGTATCGTATACATCATAGTGGTGTATTTTAATTCTTTCTGGAGCATCATATACAAGATGAAAACTCTAATTGAAAATTCGTAAACAATATGCACATGCAAGGCTTGTGTGCAGAACCTTGAACTTGGAAGCACGATATTTGTGTCAGCATTGTTGTTGGCACCAACGTCGACATATCAAACATAATATAAATGCTCCAATATTACAAAAACACTAACCATATTGAGCCAGGAGCTCTTTAAGCGTATATTTGAACTCACCTTGTTGTGTCCTGCATCTCCCTTCATATCCTGCATATAGGAAACCAACACAGACAAGATGTTACACCTCTCTCATGACTCCTACGAACATCACAAGCCAGTTTCAATGCTTACTATACGTTATAAACAACGTCGCAAACCCAAAATAGTGTTAAAAAATTTTGCAAGAAAAATTTAAGGTTTTTTGTTTCACCGATAAATTTACATAGAGACGCCAATTTTGAAGCCAACTTTCCCAAAATTTCATCAAATATACTTCCAAAGTCAAAGATGTTTATGGAGCTATCGGTTAGATTATAGCAATTCTTTCTGATTTTATAGCACACTTTTTAATTTTTCATAAAATATTTGGAAAAATTTCATTTGCCGTCCTAAATACTATTTCAACGATGAATATTACGGTGGTGTTTTTTGTGATGAGAATCGGCATTGCCAGAATCCTCAGAACAACCTGAGAGGTTATCGAATTGGTTCTCCGACTTGCGGTCAGAGGACTTGGGAGTCATGCTGTAGGTGTAGTACAGTTGATGGGGGTTGGTAAGCTAGCGCTTGGGGGAAATAAGTGTGTAATAAAAGATATAAACAAAGATAGATAGATCTATGTAAAAACTTTTCCATCTGCTTCCAGGTGATGAGCAGAGGGCACAACGTGCAGTCTAAATAACGGAACTCCGAGACTACAGTCGTGAGACCGAAATGGTGATTTGGCTGCAACAAATCACGTGACAAAATAATGATGCCACAACATTTTGTTTTCTCCTAGAGTGAGATATAAGCAGTGTAAACACTTGGTCAGTTCACACACGACATGCAGTCGTAATCCCTATTCACAAGCGTGATAGGTGTGGTGTTACCAGTTCGGATACCATGTACAGGACTGAGTGACAATATACAGGACATCCAGTATATAGACATAGAACAACCCAGGTAAACGGGGTGGTCAAATATATGGAGTAAGAGGAGGACCTAGGTACTATGCACCCAGAGAGTGAACCCGTAGGATGACATCACGCATCGAAGGGTTAACATGTGGCAACAGTTGCGCTACCCACTAGGAGACTTGTCAGGCCAAACAGACCTACATGGAAACTACAGTGGTGTTGAGCTAAATGATTTCGTCATTCTGGAATTTTGTGGTCGAGCTTAAGGTGACGTGTTTAGCATCACTTGCCAGTGCTCCTGCATACAAACGCTCTAATTAGACAAGGCGTTGCACTACTATTATCACTGCTGCAAACATCGCAAGTTGCTTCTAGAGCCCATAAGTCAATGATTAGATCAGAACATAGCTACGCTGAAACGTAATCAACGTGATGTTCGAGTTGTCTATAATGAGAGAATATGAGCCCCAAAGCTATATAAGCCTAAACTTGGTTTAAAATTAGGTTATGAGCTTATTCCGAGCGCTCCCCAGACTTCAACTTCTAAAAGCCAGTTGAATCGATCTGACGGTTAAGACAAATTGGTGGCAACTCACGGTTTTAAATATTGTGTATTATCGAATCGTCTAGTCCCCACATCTTCCACTTTAACCTCACCAAATTTGAAGAATCGACCTATACATATAATCGCGTTTGGAAATCGACCCCAGTGTGGTAGGGCAGATATAATGCCAACGTCAAAAAAAAAAAAAAAAAATCAAATAAGTTACTTTCGTCGCCGCTCACCACTCCCACACTCGCTCGATGTCGCCGACGACTAATGCTCATCAAACAATACATCCTTTTACAAAGATCAAAGCATTCTGGCAAGAGGGAATGAGCGTAGATTGTGCGACGAGGATAAGCTGCCTTTCGAAATCCGTAAATCCATCCATTACAGATCATCGAAGGGACTAATCCCCCATTGATGTCTTTAAGCATTACGCAACTGCTTAAGGGTCAGGCGTTCGTTTAACTGGCAGCCGTTGAGGTTCCTCCTTAGCACTTGAATGCACGGTTTGTCTAGTTCTACAGAGGTCAATGATTGTTTTCCGAAGAAATGCATCAATTTTCCTGATCTTCGTCTACATTCGATCGCATAATTGTCTACTATGTGAAATGCATTAAATAGTCTCCAAAAACGACATCACGCCGCCACAGTATTTCACCAACTCCTCGGCCCGGGTACTCTCTGCCTTCGACGCGTCGTGGTACCGTTGCAAATACTTCTCCAACTGTAACGGGTGGTTGTAAACAACGTCACCATGCACACTCATGAACAAGTGCATCATGGCTTCGATGACATCATAGTCGCGACGAGCTTTAAGGCCTTCAATCATCGCCTCGATAAACCAGCACATTTCGTCCAACGGCGGGAACAGGGGGAGCGAGCGAATCTCAGTATCAATCACCGGTGGCAGAGCTGCCACCACCCAATCTAAGAACTCGCTGTACGATCCCGATTCGTGGCCTTGGCGTAAAAGCTTGGTAAACTTAGATTCAAATGAATGGTCACCCTTCAACGCCAACACCCGCGATGCCGGCTCAAATTCAGGGTTTTCGTTGTCACCCGCAGTGCCGTTATTTGCAGCTTCGCCTTGTTCGGCTACCTTAGCCCGGTCACCCACAACTTCACCAGATAGTTGAAGAAAGAACGGAGCCAGTTTCGGTTTAGACGCCGGTTGTTTCGCCTTCAGCCGCTGCTTGATGGTGTCCATGTGAACGATAGTTTGAAATTTGGAGCGAGGACCCAGAGCAAGAGTCAACAAGTCGTCCACTTGCTTCTTCGTGACGTAGACCCCCAAATCGCCATCCTTATCAGTGGCATCATCAAGAGCACCTTCCACCATACTGACACCGCCATCACCCGCGGCCAGGGGAAGAAGCATGGTGGCAAATTCGTCTTCGTCGACTTGACGGACGGCTACCGGTCGGAACTGAGCCCGGTTAGTCCACAAAAAGATCCCATTACCTGAGGTGTGAGTGGTAGCTAACACATCCCCCAAGGGCGAAAACTTGACACAAGTCGCCACAGTGGGAAGTCTGACACCATCAATGCAACTGCCAGTGGGCAAATCCCATGTCCGCAACGTCAGGTCAAGCCCACACGTCACCACCCAGCGGCCATCGGGAGAAAAGTCCATCGCCGTGATCCGGTTGGTGTGACCGTACAAGATTCTCACCACTTTTTGGGCAACAACATCGACAATCACCACCAGCAAGTCGTCCAACGATAATGCAATGAGGTCCAGCTTTTGTTGGTATACCATCGCCGTGATGGGCGCGTCAAGCTGCAATTTGCCCAAGTATTGCGAGCCAGCAAAGTCGTAGAAGCCGACAATACCGTCGAGCCCGCACGACACCATCTTCCGGTTGAACCCGTCCATGGCGAGACCAGTAACGGCTTGCTTATGGAGCATATACTTCTTCCGCAAGATACCCGATTGCAAGTTGTAGGAGCCGATGCCACCTTTCAGGGACCCGACAAGAGCAAAGTTGCCACACTGAGAGATACCCACAGCGGTGGCAAAGCCCGCATCGACGGTGTCCAATTGGTGCTTACCCACGCGCTTGGTAGTAGTGTCCCAGGTACGAGCAAACAGTTCCTCCTTGTGAGCGGTGACCATATTGTCCCAGTCACCCGCACGGGCTTCTGACAGCACCATTGCCACCACTTCGGGGAATTTCTCGCGTAAGTTTGCGGTAAGACCGGCTTTTCTCTGTTGGTGAGTCCGTTTAGGCGGTCTTTGGGACATTTCCTGGGCCTGGGCGTCTTTTCTGAGCGAAAACAGCCACAACGAACGGTCTCTGGACGCCAGGTAGAGGAAATGGGTCTTGTTCTGGTCGGGAAATTCCAAGGCAATTGGAGGCGCCGAGTGCCCACCTCTCAGCCGTAAGTGACGAGGCGGTTGCACCACCGAGCTGTTGGACGAGATGGTAGGGTCAAACACCCACTCTTTCAACGTGTTGTCGCCCCCGTTCAGCACCACCACCGGTTGGCCATTCAAGAATTGCGCTTTGGCCACCCCGCCGTGAGCCTCCTGGTGAGCCGTAGTCAATACGTGGATCCGCATTCGCTTGGCCAAATCGTAAAAGAAAAGCAGACCATCGGACAAACCAGCCACGAGGTGGGGCAGACCATCAGTGCGGAACGATACCGACACCACGCGTGACTCGCCTACCACCACTCGAGGACCAAGGGTACGGCCCTTCTTCAAATTGTACAAATAAACCCCGCCAGAAGCAGTCCCCACGGCGACTAAATCAAGCACCGGTGCCAGTTCTAGCGCCGAAATCGGCTCGGCAAATTCCGCCAGCTTGTAAATGAGTTTGCCGGTTTTGATGTTGAAGATAAACAACTTGGACGTGGTGGCCACCACCACTTTATTCAAGTAGGTAGGCGGGTGGACGACATCGACAATTTGCCCCTCGATGGTGTTGATGTTCATCAGGGTATAGTGGGTAAACTGAGCCTTGCGCCCCTTAAACACCTCCACCGAGTTATCCGACATCGTTGCCACTAAGAACTCGCCAAACACAATGATCTTGTGGACGGTGGCGTCGCTGGGACACGTCAACGTCGCCTCAGGCTTACCCCGCCGGTACACCGTGATTTGGTTGCCGTAGCCAGCGAATACGTAGTGGAAGTGGGCAGCAACGGCAGTGATCTTGTGAGGCGTTTGAGTGGAGGTGACAAACAACAAGTGGAGGTTGTTGGCGTCGTAGATCTGGAGCAGGGTGCCCACAGAGGTGACGATGTAGAACGTCAGCCCCAACGTGCCCACGGCAAAGGGGATATCGTTGGATACACAGCCAAGCACGCGGAAGGGGGAGTAGATACGCAGATCCCGCTTGGCGACATTATTATCCCGCTCGGGGGCATGTCTCTTCGTCGGGGCCAGCATGGTGCTATGGGTGCGATGAGTGGTGCGATGAGCGATGAGCCGCGAAATACCGCTACCAAGAGTAAAGCGAGAGACCCCGCGAAAAATTGAGGAACGGACACAACAGGCCGATTCGAAAAAGTGGAATGAGCATTTCGCAAGTTATTGGGAGTAGGGTAAACCTGTTTTGAATCGATTAGAAACGCGTGGTAAGGAAAACTATTGTCCAGCACGGTAGGGATGTCGCGTGCTAACCTCAAGCTATTAGGTATTGAGGAGAAGTGTGATCGTCTTAGATTTAGAGAAAGCAATTGCTGCGATCATTAGTCTTGGACTTGAGTGTATAGCTGGTCTCCTGAAGTGAACGGAGACTAGTCGTTTGAGACCGTGGACGTGTAAGCGAATCGCAACCATTGAATCTTGGCCTAGTCAATCAATTCCTTCATTGGGGCAAAATAGCTTGTCTTTTTCAATCTGCCAGCGCTCCTCGAGACAATTGATGTGAAGGTAACGAATGAAAGGAACAACAGGCCAGTGTGCTCTATTGGAAAAGTTGCTATGTGCTTTGGCAAACTCCCTAAATGAACATTCGCCACCGATATGCACAATGAGAAAATGCATTATTGGCTATAGCTTGATAGAGTGCATGACTTAACCCTGGAGTCGTTACTCCTCGATATCGCTAATGCTACGAGGCAAATTAAGTCTCAATGGGCTTCCGACATTTCCGACGCCGGATATTATTCCGACATTTAGCGCGAGTACTACGATCCCCCACAGGCTGGGGCAATCACCGCCCATGGTTTCCGATTGTGTGGCAAAACTATTTGGCGAGTACTTTTGGAGGCACCCGGATATTTTTGCAGTTCCCAGTTTCCCTGTTGTCCATACTCTGTAGATCAGAAAATAACAAAAATGGCTCCATTACCAAATTTGGTGCATCGACTCCTGCATCGGCTAACATTCCTTTGGCGATGGTGAGATGGAATGAAGATTACGAGATCCTCAGCGCACGAATGCAGTCAAGGAAAAGGTCCTCGCCGTACTTGTTTGAAACATCGTTAGCTACGCTGAGACAAACGGTCATTTGTTAGAGAAAAACTTATCGTGAACTCCATGGGTGAGAGGGCTTAGTTGCTCGTCAACGAGAAAGGCGGGAATGCTTTGCCGGGCAACAATGCAGGCGGGAACGCCCATTGCCAAAGGGAATGTCATTGTTGTCCGGGATGCAATCGGTTGACGAATTCTGTAATAATATTTTCAATAATATCGCGTGCCAAAATATCTTTACATGGGCCAAGGGCTACAACCGTAAGCCAGCCATCTCACGCTGTGGTCAGCGTCGTTGTCAATTGGGTAAATTTTCTGGTGATGCTCTGGAAGACGATGCTTCTTCATACTAGCCCCAAGGGCGTGTGGTGGCGAGTGCGAAGGTCACGTGGGGAAATACTACTAGTGGAAGAGATCGTGGTAGTCAAAGAGGTATACGTAGTCAAACAAGAGAATCTAAAGTCTTCATCGTTCAAACTGTACCAGTAAGTTCAGAAAGACGGTTAGTTGCAGCACAAAAGAAGACTGAGTCTCGTAAATTTCTATTTGTGTCCCAAGGGCCTTTCTCAAGAGCCATGCTCGGAATAAGCATTGAGGTTAACTGCGGTAGGCGTAGATAGACTTGTGCAGACTTTAACCCCATGAAATCGAGCGCAATCGTTTAGGGACCCAACGTGAAATAAACCAACACTAGTATGGAAAATTTAGTGAACCGATCGTCATAAATTCTTCTCGTGATTATACAACTCATATATCCTCGAAGATAGTGTCAGCAGTTAGTAATCTTGCGATTACCAGAAGCAATTTACGATAAAAGTCATTAGCAATTCGTCCCAAATCTCGGCCCACGTCCTACGCCTACTCGATTTATCTCTACCTCCCCTTTCGGTCACTCAGGGTGGTACCCATGACAACCCGCAGCCACTGATAAATCGCCCCACACTTTCCTCAACCACCCCCTCCCCACCAAAAGCCATACACTTCAAAAGGTGACTATGGCTGACTCGATGCCAAGTGACGTTCACCAGGAGCAAGGCGAAAACAAAACCGGGACTACCGCTGAGCCTACCGACCAAAATCTCCAACTTCAGGAGCAAAATGTTGAACAGCCTGAGAGTGACGCTAACGAGCAGTTTGAGAAGGAAACCGTCGAAGACGGGCTCCATCTCGACGAAGAAATTACCCAGCCTGAAGTAGGTATCGGTGCCCCCCAAGAATTGCTGTCAATTGGTAACAAAATTGAGATTACCGACGAAAACAAAATGACTGAATCTCATGGCCAGGAAGCTGTTGTCCCAGAAGACATTTCGGTTGACACGCCGCTGGACACGCCTTCGCCTCCGTTGACGTCGCTGCACCGCTGTGGGCTTACTTTGGGTCCTACGGAGTGGGGTGTCATCATCGGCGTACTCATCATTTTGTTCCCCCGAGTGGCCTGGTTCTGCGTCAAAATGGGCTTCCGCTTCGTCAAGTTGATCAGCTAGCTACCACAATCGCAATGTACGTGTTTGTCTAAGGTTTCGTAAAAGTGTCTATGACTATAAATTAGTGGCCCTTGAGCTCGCCCTTGACCGCGACCAGCCCCTGCTTCAATTCTCTCCCGGACAATTGGAGGGTGCCGTCCTGCTTGATGTTGACCACCACCTCGACGTTGGCGTTCGGCTTCAAGTCCTTCACCGTCAACTCGGCGAGCTTGGTGCCGACCTCGTAGACGATTTCGCGCTTAACTTCGGGCTCGTCGTCGGAGAAGTCGGAGTCGTCGTCGTCGTCGGCGTCGGCGTCCTTGGCCTCGGGCTCGATCACGGTCTCCTTGATCGTCTTCTTCCCCTCGTACAACTCGATGGCCACCGCGGGCGAGTCGCCGTTGGTCACCTCGATCGACTTCTTGATCGGGTAAGCGGTCTCCGAAAGCAAGATGGGGACGAAGTTGCCGGCGGCGTCCTTGATGCCGATGGGGTGGCGGAGGTGCTGGGTGTTGACGACGATCGGCTGTAACAGCTCGGCGATCTCTTCGTCGTCGAACAGCTCGATCAACAGCGCCTGCAACGCAGCGCCTCTAGCAATCAACTCCGACGGGTCGGTGGCCTTAGGGTCGAGGGCGGGGGCGACGACGGTGGTCAGCTCGGGGAAGAGGAACTGGATGTTCAGCGCCAACTTGGGCACGTGCGACGAGCCCCCGACAAGCACCACTTCGTCGATGTCGAGAGGGTCGAGCCCGGCCTTGGTCACCACTTTTTCCACGAACGCCGACATGTTCAGCAACGGCGCGCGCGCCGCCAACTCGAAGCGCAACCGGTTGATCGTGGTGTGGAAGTCGAGCCCGTCGGCCAACGACTCGATCGAGCACGTCGACGTCTGGACGTTGGACAACGTCTTCTTCACCACGATCGACTCCGCCAACAACTTGGCGCGCGACCGGTCGGTGGCGGTGGCGTCGGCCTTGGTCTTCTTGGTGAACTCCTTGGCGAAAAAGTCCAGCAACGCCGCGTCCAATTGGGCGCCGCCGAGGCCGTGCTCGTGGGCGGTAGCCAACACGGTGAGGACACCGCCTCTCACCACAATGACGGCGGCGTCGGAACGGATACCCCCGAAGTCAGCCACCACGTAGGTCTTGTCCTGGGACAACTTGTTGTCCTCGGTCAGCAAGTACGCCAACAACGCCGCCAGGGGCTCGTTGATCGTCTGCAACACCTTGATGCCGGCGGAGGCGCAGATCAGCGCGAGCGCCTTGCGCTGGGCGTCGGAGAAGTCGGTGGGGACGGCGATGACAGCCCCCTCAACGGTCTTACCGGTGTAGTCCTCGGCGGCGTGCTTCAAGTGGGTCAAGTGGCGCTTGGTCACTTCCTCGACGGGCAAAGACTGCTTTTCGCCCTTGACTTCAACCTCGTAGCCAACGCCGTCGCCCACCTGCTTGGGGGCGGCGCCGTGGGCGACGTCGGCGTTGATTTCAGCGAAGGGCTTGCCGATGTAGTCACGGAAGTTGATGATGGTGTTGGGGGCGTTGCGGATCAACTGCAGCACCGCCTGGAACCCGTGGTACTCGTCGTCGCCGGCGTACAGCAACGCCGAGGGGATGGCGCGGTCGCCGTCGGGGTTGGCGATGACGTCGACCTTGCCGTCGTTGGCCACGGCCACCGACAGCAGCGTGTTCCCAAAAGTAATCCCAATCACCGACATGGCTGTGTGTGTCTTATGGAAAGAGTATTTGGCAAAATGAGAATTTTCGCCGCGATGAGCGCGCACCGGCGCCTACGGCAACACTGGTGGAAGAGAGTGTGTTTGAAGAATTGGACTACAATTTTCAGAAAAGTAGTGGTTTGAATTCATAAATTTACTGATGAGCAGTTTGATTTTATCTTGACTTGTTTCAGGTTTTTGTTTCCATATTGTTATGGTAGTAGCATCTATTATAGCCGCATCAATCAGTAGTAGCCACAGTTGCCACACCCACTAAGCTACAAAACTTTGAAGATAACTGAAACTTGAAATATTACCATCATTCCACTAGCACCCCAAACTGTTCGTTACGAATAATTTGTTTCTGTTTTCTGCCTAGAATTTGTGTTCTTGCTAGCGAGTATAGTTCCCGCCTCATTAGGCTTATCGCGCACTATCGCCACCCCCGACCTCATCGCATGAAGATCAAGACCATCAAGCGGTCGCTGGACAACTATGTCCCCGTGCGCAACACCCAGGAGCTGGCGATGCCGCGGAACCTCGACCCGGCTCTCCACCCGTTCGAGCGGGCCAGAGAGTACACCAAGGCCCTTACCGCCACCAAGTTGGACCGGATGTTTGCGAAGCCCTTCATCGGCCAACTCGGCGATGGCCACCGGGACGGCGTCTACTGCATTGCCAAAAACTATAGGACCACCAACCACGTGGCGCTGGCCTCGGGTGACGGCGTGATCAAGTACTGGAACCTCGGTACCCGTGATGAGACGATTTCATTTAAAGCCCACTACGGCATGGTCGGCGGGCTCGTGGTGACTCCCGATAACAAGTTATTGCTGTGTGGTGCCGATAAGACGATCAAGATGTGGTCGGTGTTTGCGCTGGACTTCGATTTGAAGCCGCAATTCGCCGATGACGAAGTATACCAAAACGATGAGAACCGGGGGCTCGTCAAGACCTTTTTGGGCGAACACGCGTTCCTGGGGATCGACCACCACCAGGACGAAGGGGTTTTCGTTACTGGCGGGGCGTTGATCCAGCTCTGGGACTCCCAACGGACCAAACCGGTGCTGAACTTAACTTGGGGTGCCGATAACGTCACTACCGTCAGATTCAACAAAACTGAAACTAATGTGATTGCGTCGCTGGGATCAGACAATGCCGTGGTGCTTTATGATATCCGGACTAACCTGGCGGTGCAGAAAGTGGTCACCGATATGAGACAAAACGCCATCTGCTGGAACCCGATGGAGGCGTACATGTTTGCCCTGGCCTCGGAAGACCACAACTCGTACCTCTGGGACATGCGTTATCTCAGCAGTGCTAAGAACATCTACAAGGACCACGTGGCGGCGGTGATGGATATCGATTTCAGTCCTACCGGTGAGGAGTTGGTTACGGGTTCCTACGATAAGACGATCCGGATCTATAAGACTCATGAAGGGCACTCACGTGATATCTACCACACCAAACGGATGCAAAGAGTGTTCTGCACCAAGTTTACCACCGATTCCAAGTACATTTTGCTGGGGTCTGACGACACCAATATCCGGGTGTGGCGGGCCAACGCCTCCGAACGAGCGGGGATCAAGCTGGCTAAGCAACGACAAAAGCTTGAGTACGATGCCGCGTTGAGAGAGCGGTACAAGTACATGCCCGAGATCCGCAGAATCGCTCGCCACCGTCACTTGCCTGTGGCGGTTAAGAAGGCGCAAGAGATCAAGCGGATTGAGCTTTCTAGTTTGAAGAGAAGAGAAGAGAACGACCGCAAGTCTACGGGTGAAGAGAAGGTCCCCGAACGGAAACAAGTGGTCCGCGGCACCGCCTTCAAGCGTGATGAATAGGTTAACTAAGGCCATCAACTGTATATTAGTCGACGGATACTGTCTGTAACGTCAAGGAGAGGATGTTAGCCTCTCCCAATCATTTATCATATTAATAAACGACCATTTTAGGAATGACAAATATAAGTTCAATGGAAGCAAATTTATAATATGGATGGAGAAACCTCGAGCTACTCTGTCAATGAACCTCATAATTCTACTACTGCTCTCGTTGATTAAGATAATGTATGGGCTATGGTAATGTTGGTATTCGCGGGGTTTGACGGAGGTAGCAGCTTCATTTTAAAGTTTAGATTGACTCAGTTGGGGGTCTCAGTCAGATAAAGGTTAATGGCCCTGTTCCTGGCTATAAGGACTTCTTCTCATAGCCCTTGGAAGTTGATTTTCGAGCTCAAACATAGCTTAACTAATAATCAAATGTTTCTATTAGTTTAACTTCCATTTTGTGACATCCAAGCCTCCCTATCTACCCCTTATTAGAGTATGATTCTGCCCCGCGCGGCGGTGCTGTCAGTGGGCCGGAGTTCTCACCATCATCTCCGGCGTTAGGGAGCGCAGCGATGCGGGGTTCGCACCGAAAACGGAATTTGTCTGCGAACGCTATCCGTGGGTACCAACAGAGGGGACAGTCCCCATCCCCCATCCGTATCCCAATAAATAGCCGTCACCCCCTGCCTCCCCTTGCTTACCAATCAATAATTAATGCCATGGACGATGACGAGAAACCCAGCTCGTCCTTCGACACCGAGCTGGTCAGCGTCAAGCTAGATCCGTGGCTCAACACCCGCTACTCGTGGGTGATCTGCGCTTGTTGCGCCGTGTGCAACTTCTGTACCTGGGGGTTAAATCTGGGGTTTGCCGTGTATTTCCAACACTATATCCACGACGATAGCTTTCCTGGAGCTACCAAATTGGACTATAGCTTTGTTGGTGGCATTTCCTATGGTGCCTTTCTTGCTGCTTCTCCCCTTATTAATTACCTATGGGTGCGCCTTGGTAAGTATGGTCTCACCACGATCTTGGTGCTAGGTACTGTGTGCCAGTTTGCTGCGCTTATGCTTGCCAGCTGGCTGAAGAAGACGTGGCAGTTATATTTGACTCAGGGTTTGCTCCTTAACGTTGGCCTCAGCTTTATCTCGATGCCGGCATTGACGTTACCTCTGATGTACTTTTCTAAGGATAAGCGAGGGTTGCCGTCGCTGATCTCGGCGGCGGCTCTGGGGCTTGGTGGGGTCTTGTTCAACCTCATGTGTGGCCGTATCGTCAAGATAAACTCCGTGGGGTGGGCGTTGAGAGCGCAGGCGTTCATCATCGCCTTCCTCATGCTATTCCCCATCTGGTTCGCTCGTGATCGAGCGGAAATGAGAGTGTTTCCTAAAGCTAACTTTGGCATCTATAAGCTGATTACCTTCTACTGGTTGTCGCTCTACACAATTACGCTGACGTTTGGCTATCTTGTGCTTTTGTACACTTTGGGACTGTTTGTGACATCATTGGGCTACTCTCAGGACCAAGGGTTCTTGGTATCGGCGCTTGTCAATCTCGGTCTGGTAGTGGGACGTCCTCTTATTGGGTATCTATCTGATTTCCCCAAGACGGGTGTCATATCCACCACCATCATCGCCCACCTGATCTCGTGTATCCTCTGTCTCGCGATGTGGATCCCTGCTCGTAACTACGCCACCTGTGTCGCGTTTGGACTCATGGTGGGTGCCGTGATGGGCCTGATTTTCGGCATGTTAGCCCCTTCGTGTGCCCGCATTTGGGGCGATAGCATCATGAGGTATGCATTTAGTAACCAGTGGGCTTTATTGGGGATATCTGCGGTATTTTCGCCTCCCATCGGCGCCAGTCTCACTAAGTTTAATGGCGGTGAAGTGATGCCAATGCTGTTCCGAGACTGCTCGATTTGGGTGGGTGTGTGCTATTTTGTATCGGTGATGATGCTTCTCCTTATACGCGGCCACGTCAAAGCTCGCGATGCCCTCATCACCCAGGACCCTAGCATCACCGAGGTTAAAGTACCGATGCGGATGGTATTCACCCACATGTTCACCCTCAAATACGATCGTGTATAACATTATTTATTGACTCATCTTTCTTCAGTACTGCACATTATATATATCTCGGCATTGCCGTGCCGGCATCCGCACCGGCATCCGCACCGGCATCCGAGTCGCGAACACGGCACATCCGTCGGGGTCGCCTTCGGGAGTCGCCGAAAGCACACAATGGCATGTTCCCCTCGCCCATCAAATCCCCCTACGTAAATCCCCTCACCCCCTTACAAGCATCCCCCTTTGTTTTTTCCAAGCGTCTGGTTGGTTCTCGCCCCCCTTCGCCTCTGTCCACGGACTTTTAGCTCCCCAAAGCGACCTCATCGCTCATCTCCACGATTCACCACAATAAAAAAAGCCACCACAATACGCAAGATCCCCCCCAGACAGATAAAAAATAAGACAAAATGAAAATGAAGGATTCATTATCACTCTCATAGCTATTTCAGTCAAATCTTTTGGGTAATTCGTTCATTTGTTCAAACCCCTATTCGGTGACTCGCACCAAGCGTTAGCGTTTATTGTTATGACCCCTCATACAGTTCCCTATACAGTTTGTTGGCTGATGCCGCGCGCGGCTATAAAAGTGTCGCTGTTCCCACTATGCTCATGATACAGCGGAGCTTTGGCCACAGCGGGAGATGAGTGGCAGCAAGCAGCTGAGCGACGACGTCGACCCCAAGTCGCTCGTGTCCACGGACCACATGTTTGAGGACGAAGTGATCGAGGAAAACCACATCGAGAAGCTCGTGTCGGCGACGTGTTCCCACCACGAAGCCGAAGAGGACGTCGTCTACGACTCCGGGTACGCGTGGGTGGTGTGCCTCTGCTGTTTCTTTATGAATTTTTGTACGTGGGGGATGAATCTGGGGTTCGCCATCTACTTTGCCAACTACCTAGACCTGGGTACGTTCGCTGGCGCTACGAAATTGGACTATGCCTGGATCGGAGGGATTGCTTTCGGGGTGGGGCTCGCCTTTCTGCCCGTGGTAAATTGGTTGGTGCCCATTCTCGGCATGAACGGGTGTCTTTTACTCGGTAATTGTCTCCAGTTCACCGCGCTTATGCTTGCCAGTTGGCTGACTAAACTCTGGCAATTATACTTGACTCAAGGGTTGATGAACTCGTTTGGGCTTGCATTTATCCTGATCCCTCAGCTTATCATCATCCCGATGTGGTTTAAGAAGAAACGGGTGTTTGCCGGTGGTATCACTTCCGCCGGTCTGGGGGCCGGCGGTATCCTTTTCAATTTGGGGATGCAGGCCATCGTCGAAGCAAAACTGGTCCACTGGGCCCTCAGAGCCCAGGCGATCATCCTGTTTGGCATCATGTGGTTCCCCACCGTCTTCATCCGCTCGCGCCACAAGTCGAGCGGCGCCGGCTTCAAATTGGTCGACAAGCAGATCTTGATGCTGGCGTCGTTCTACATCTTGGCCATGTACATCATCTTTTGCATTTTCTCCTACGTCATCCTTCTTTACTCGCTTGCCCAGTGGACCACCACTCTCGGCGAATCAGTGTACCGGGGTCTGATCGTCAGTGCCTGCGTCCAGGTGGGACTGTGTGTGTTCCGTCCCATATTCGGTGTGCTTGGCACCCCCAAGTTTCTTGGACCCCTCACCATGGGCTCCATCCTTTATACCCTTTGTGGCATCTTCTGTCTTGCCATGTGGATCCCGCTGCGTAACTTCGCCGCCGCAGTGGCGTTTGCCATAATTGAAGGCGGGATGATGGGGTTCATCTACAGTATGTTCACCCCGGTGTGTGCCGCTGTGTTTGGCATGAAAAAGATGTCAACGGCCTTCTCCAATTTATGGGTGCTTCAGGGGCTTGCTGCCATCTTTGGTCCCGTTATTGGTATCAAACTTAGGCGTGGTGAGGGTGCATACGTCGACCCCACGCAGTACCAGGACTGTGCCATTTTCTGTGGCGTGTGTTTCATCGCTGCTGGCTTCTTTTTATTCCTAGAGAGAGGCTACTTGGTGGCGAGAAACCGCATCATGGTCGCCGAGGGCCACGAAGTCGACCCGGATAAAATCGACTTCGCCGCGTATACGGTGCCGCCGATGGCGGTGCTCAGAGGGTGCTTTGGAGCCGGTAAATTCTAGACCGCATTTAATAGACTAATCGCTTACGAATACACGACCTTAGACTTCAGTAGTCGAATTTATCGATTATAGCGGGATTAGTCGATGAGATAGATCCGTACGATCAGAGTGGGAGTAGTGCGGAGCTCAATAGCGGGTAAATGTTCGTGTCTTTAACAAAATAGCGCAAATTGAATACCGGTGTAGTCATGAGGTTTTCGGCGTTAACGCGCAATTAGAGCGCAATTATCATTCAAAAGTCAAGCCATTGGTTGCGGCCAATGCGATTATATGCAGGTTCGAGTCGACGCAAACATGAAAGCTGGCCAAGTAGACAAGCCATTTTCAATAAGCCAACAGGGATTGGAAGTAATTGGTGGTGTGAATTCAAATTGAGGCGCTGTTGTAAGTGGACGCAATCATCTTTGCATCATTCAATCCATTCCAAGTATCGGTAGTCGTCAATTAGTGTACAGCTCCCGTTCAAGGGATACACCTATTGATGGTCAAACGTGGCACTTAGTCGGTTGAAATATGATTCTTCGGTGATTCTGTCGGTTCTGACGTCACATGAAAAACTACAGACCAACAATGTAGAAGCCTATTGTTACATCCAACAAAAAAATGCAACATTTACCGATTCGCCTAGCTGTCCATGGTGTAGCGTCTGCCGCGGCAAAATCCATAGTGATGATGCCTAAGCCTCATAGGTTTCGGGTGCCTCGCTTAAACGTATGGAATCCGGGGGCGCATTCTCCGATATCGGCTATGATTAGAATGTATAGCTTAGCTGCCTGGTAGCAACCGCTTTGTTCATCCCCGCTCCCTCGTGGTACCTAACAATAAACCAAATGGCTCCACCTCGTATTCAATTAACGTAACAGTGATTGTTTTTCCGGTCCATATGGTAAGATAGGGGCTTATACTAATTTTAGATCTTAAAAGATGCCGTGGCTCCAGGGGAACACAACGTCAAGTGACGTCAAAGTGCCGTGATCCTCATACATCTTTTGGTAAGAATTGACGGTGTTGCCGGCAGTGCCGTCCAGCCGGCAGCCTTCGCTGAGATTATCAATGTCTAGTGTGTAATTCCTCAGAGTGCCCGCAATCCTTCTATTTCTAGCCGTAGTCAGGTAGATATCTATCTGTAAGAGAACGTTGAACAATGATCAACAATTAACTTATTGAATACCTCGGTTAGAGGCACGAGATGCACAGCCTTGTATTGTACTTTACAATCACTAAACTAGATGAAGGAAAACTCCGCTTGCCCCATTCGATTTTGAGGCACGAGGTTTCCGCTTGTTGTTGCCACCATAGGCAAAAGTAACGTCGCATTTCTTAAATTGTAAACCGAAATCGCTCAGCGAAATATTTGAGCCAATAGAAGCTGAGAGACATCCTTGACATGACATTCACTGTCAAACGTATAATTTATGGCCGGTGCTTCTCACAATCGACCGTTATGTATCGGATATCTTCGAAGTGAGAGTAACACTTGACCCTGGTGGTACTCGTCAAGAAAACGAGACACAAATGGACGCCTCAAGGTTGCCTGACGTAACTAAAGTTGTTTTCCCATGTGTGTTTAGGGGCTGACTAAAATTAGCATGATTCAAAAGCTGGGGTGTCAGGGGACGTCGATGTCTGCTGACGTCAAGGTTGACACAAAAGTGGGCTACGGAAAAAAACCATCGGTATCCGTGGTACGAGAGTTGAGTTGAATACTCTCTCGTATCGTGGTATACCTTATAGTTCTTCGTGTTCTTTCATCAACTTGACTCTCTAATACATCCAGGAGAATCACCTCTTAGCAATTTCCTGTAGAAAGTGCTTGTTCAGGCTGATTGTGATGTGGACCCGTTCCCTGACGTAATGTTTATTGTCAATATTGAAGCAGCAGCTGAAATACACAGCCTCTGAAGAGTAGGTTGCAACCAAATTCGACTATAAATTAGCATCCTTTGCCCAAGGATTATCCATCATCAATCCAATCAATCACAACATGAAGTTCACCATTGCCGCTATCTCGCTCTTGACCTCGTTGGTCGCCGCTGACCAAGCCTTCAACGGTATCACCGTGAGAACGGGGACCAAGTTCCAATTCGGCCAACTCTCGGTTGAAAACGATGAAGTGTTCATCAATGACCAGGATGGCGCCGCCATCAGCTTTGTCTTGAAGGACGACGGCTCTCTCCAGGACACCAACTCCAACAAGTACTTCACTTTCAACGACCGTTCGGCGTTGGCCACTACCGACGAACCCGACAAGCAATTCTCGTTCCACGAAGTCTACCTTAAACACGGCGACTCCTCGGGCTTCTACGCTTGCCCTGATGGCGACAAGTACTACTTGTCGGGCAACGACTGTGAAGGGAGCACTCCCGTCGCCGTCTACGTCGACAAGGCTTAAGCTCATGCGATGTAAACATCAATTAGCTATACTTTATGATCAATGAACAATCGTATGACACCCAAATAGTAGATATTGAGCACCGACATTACGTCATAACCGTAAGTCGCGCCCTCTCCTATCAAATTCGCATCTGCAAGGTCCTCGGGATTTAATTTAGTTCGGTGCGTTCACAATATCCGCTCGGCTGACTTGAACGGCGAACTTGACGTATCTCTCCAATCTCCTTCAAATTAGTAGCATTTACATGAGCTATGACTCTAAGACTATGTTCTCTCCAGCTTCACTAGATTCTCATCAAATATGGCTTAACGCACCTTACGGGCGAAGCGTATCCGGGAAAGCCTAAGTTTTTTTTTCTCCAGTAAGCGGTGCAACTCGTTTACCCTTATTGCCGTCATCTCTTCAAGCCGCAGTAAATCCGAAATTCATTACATGATGTGCCAAGACCCCACAAAAACAATCATGACGTCATTGATGGAAGATGATAATTGTGGGCCATAGCAATGTCCAATATGAGGATACGTTGACTAAATAACTATCAAATTTGGTAGTATCGATGGCTGTCTTTGCTGGGAATGTTTTAAAGGATGGTCTACTGCCTAACTTTATCGGCTATTACGGGAAAACAATACCATCGCAAATTTCTGCGTCATGACGGAAGCTGCCGGTAATATCCAACGCCGCACAGACCGTAAGCCTCGTTTTTACTAGAGTGCATGACGCAGCCCCCGTACACCCTCCCCCGTGGTACCTATCAATATTCGCTCGGTGACACACCCCCCGCATGCTCACTGGCTGTTTGTTTGTTGATGCCAGGCTATATTTGTCTACCAACATAAGCCCCCAAGCATAAGCCCCAGGTTATTCAGCCGTCGCTAACAGTGATTCAGGAACCGCCACTGCCATTAGTGATGGCTTAAGGGGTAGTAGTAAGAATGTAGTGGGGAAGGTGGCCGTGCGGGCGGAGTAGACGTGGGAGTGGCGTGGGGATCGGTGCTGAGGGAAATTCGTGACCACTACAATTGCAGCTGACCGGAGAGGGGTGCGCTAATTTTAGTACCGAGCCGTATGTCATTGATTGTATGGGAGATGCCGATGTCCGCTGATGTCATAGATGCCGCAAATGCCTGCAGTAACCCCGGCAGTGGCACCTAACGATTGGCGAAATTGTTGCGAACTACGGGACGTTCGGGCACCGAAGGATTAATCAATCCAAAATATATCCATCGTTTGAATTTGAGACTGTTGGTAGCTTCGTCAATTGATTGCTTACATGCTAGCAATTTCGGTGGCAAATGTGCCCACACTTTGAGCGCATTTTTTTGCGCGCGTTAACAGAGGGGATCCCGAGCCATGCGATTGCTGCATCGCGGCTGCAATAGAAATTTGCAACCACAGTTAGACCCGAGAAGAAAAAAATTCATCTATAAATATGGGGTCAGGAACCACTCAATTCTTTCTTCATCAATCAAATTCAATTCAATATGAGACTTTCCACTACTGCCCTTCTCGCCTTGGCCTCGTCGGTGGCCGCCGACAAGTTGTTGACTGCCATCAACACCAGATCAGGGGGCTTGTTCCACTTCACCTCGAACTCGATTGTCGGTGACGAGGTCCACGTCAACGACAAGGACGGCTCGGTCATTGAGTACCTCATCAAGGACGACGGCTCGCTCCAAGACAACAAGACCAAGAAGTACCTTGTCCTCAAGGACGACGGCCATGTCGGTGTCTCCGACACTCCCGACGACAAGAACTGGGAGTTCACTTCGTCGCACTATGTATCCCACAAGGACGCTGGCGGCTACCAAGGGTGCCCCAACGGTGACGGCAAGTACTACTTGTACTTGGGTAACGACCAATGCCAAGGTGGTGGTCCTTTTGCCATCTACGCCACCGACTTCAAGGACGTCGGCAGCTCTGACGACAACTCCGACGACAAGAAGGATGAAGAAGATGACAAGAAGGATGACCAACAAGACGCCGCTGATGACAAGAAGGACGAAGAAGACGACAAGAAGGACGACCAACAAGACGTTCAAGACGACAAGCAAGACCAAGAGGATGACAAGAAGGACGACCAGCAACAAGCTGCTTCTGTTGACGCCAAGGACAACTTTGCCGTGAAGGTCGATGCTGAAGGCACCGACTTCCAAGACAAGTCCATCAAGAAGGTTGGCGCTCACCCTCACGTGTTCCTGGTTGGTGGCGACGACGGCCGTGACTTGACTCTCTCCTTGAAGAGCGACGGTACTTTGATCGACCAGGACGGCCGTGGCATCTTCGTTGGTGACAACGGCGATGTCGGTAACGTTGACCCCTTCGGTGAACAACAAGCCACTGGTGGTTTCAGCATCAGCGACGACAAGTTGGTGTACAACGGCGACCAAGGCTTCTTCGCCTGCCCCGGCGGTGAAAACCAATTCTCGCTTACCGTTAAGGGTTGGGACGGCTGCACTGGCCTCAAGTTGAAGGTTGAGTAAGCGACCAACGCTAATGAATTTATAATGATAACGACTAAATAAATGATTAGATACCGAATGAACTAACGTATGTGTTACAATCATAGGATAAACTTTGCTTACTATTCGATCAACTGTTCATGGTTCAATTATAATACATCATTATTCTACTCGTTGACGAAAATCAACGACTCGCCGTCGTCGGCAACCTGGAGCACGTTCAAGTGGCTGTACTCGTTGACACACTCGTTAAACTGTTCGATGGTGAAGCCCCGCGCAAGCACCCGCGAGCGCACGTCGTCCATAGGCAAGTGCGATTGAGGCTCGTCCAGCTCCAACGCCAAGTGGCGCAAGTACTGGAAGATCTTCAGCGTCGCCAGCTCGTCGTCGCGGCCCGAGTGGTCGTCGTCTTCCATCAGCGTCTTCAGCACTTGAATCAAACGCAACGCCTCTTCCACATCTTCAAACCCAACCACATTCAGCAAACGCACCCGGGCGTGAGCTTGAGCTAACCGCAACACCCCTAATAACGTTCTCGGAGTGATGTGGCTGAACTTCTTGATCAGGTCTTGCTGGCGATACAGCTCTTTCCGCATGGCGATATATTGTTGCACCACGTAGTCACCGACTTCCTGAGGCACGGTGGGTCTGAAGGCACGTGCCCGGTTGATGTAGGTACGGATGGCAGCGGGGGCTAAAGGAACAAACCCAAGGTCGGGCTGGCGGTTGTGTTGGTGGACAAAGCACACGTGCGACGCCAATTCCTCATCGCCTTCACGCAGGGCATCGTCGATCATCACGTACATCACGTCGAAACGCGACAAAAGCGCCGCCGGCAAGTTAATGTTGTCGTGGGGCAGCAACTTCTTATTATAGCGTCCGTAGAGAGGGTTAGCAGCGGCGAGGATCGAGCACCGAGCGTTTAAGGTAGTGGTGATCCCAGCCTTAGAAATGGAGATGGTTTGTTGTTCCATCACTTCGTGGATGGCGGTACGGTCGTTTTCGTCCATCTTATCGAATTCATCAATGCAACAGACACCATTATCAGCAAGCACAAGTGCCCCGCCTTCAAGCACCATTTCATCGGTAACAGGGTCACGCATGACGGCGGCGGTCAAACCGACACCGGAAGAACCTCTACCGGTAGTGTACACCAGTCTAGGGGCAATCTTACCCACGGCTTTAAGCAATTGAGATTTGGCCACACCAGGGTCACCCATAAGACACACGTTGATATCACCTCTAATCTTCATCCCGTCACCAATTTCTTTAGTGACACCACCAACAAGAAGCAATAACAAAATCTTTTTCACGTCGACGTGGCCAAAGATTTCGGGGGCAATCAGCTTGGCAAGCTTAGTGTAAACGTCGCCACCCTCAGCGACTAACCGGTCTACGCGGGCTGCGACGTCAGGGTCGATGTGGTCGGGGTCGTATTGCTTTTTGTGCTGCGAAACTGATTGGGTTTCAAGGTAGGTTTCGGTTAAAAGACCGGCTTTGATGGCACGGTAACCGGTATAAGGGAGAGGCATGAAGATACCACTGACGTCGACGGTGTCACCGGGGTTCATCGACCGCACTAAAGGACCGTTAACGTGGATGGTAAGCAGTCGAGGAATATTACCCACAGGCACTTGGTTGGAGAGTTCCTGGATGCGAACCTCTTGGAAACTCATAAACTTCAGTGCCCGTGTCAGTAAGTGCAATTTGCCTTGATTATTGTCAGTTTGGCACTGGCGAGCGGGACACTCAGACAACGGAGTGAACGTACGCAGATTGACTTCCTGGAAGATTTCGTGACCGCATTTGTCACAGGTGTAACCCGCCACCACCACGAGGGGCTTGACGTCACTGACACGAGTGACGATGCCTCGAACAGTGATATAGTGGCCAACATCGGACCCTTTAACTTCACGCACTGCCAACGGATGGTACTTAGGGTTCAGCGGCAGCAATGGGAGGAAATAAAGGGTGTATCTGCGGGTCAATTTGGGAGGGAAAAGGTCTTCGGCAAGGGCATCACCGGGTCCAGTTTCGAGACCATCACGTAACCGGTCGAATTCTGCAGTCTGTTCCAGCTGTAACCGCTGGTTAAGCACCTTACGCTGGTGTCTGATCACATCCAAAACGTCATCTTTATAACTGATGTCGATACTGGGCTCAGGCATGAGTTCGTCGACGACTTTCAGACAGAGTTCAATATAGTGGTGGGTGTTGGCCATGATCTCTCTGACCAAATTAGAAGCGCCGGGGGTATTGAGTCCGTAGGCGTTGACATCGTCCAAATCGATGTTGACGGTATCACGTTCACGATTGGCCACCGATTGGAGCATCAGCATGTATTTGAGGCCGGCGTAAGGCTGGGGGTCCATGTCGACATCTTCGTCGACCAGCGTTGCCAGCTTGAAGTGCAGGAGGAAGTCCTTGATCTGCTCCAGCACTTCGGCATAGTTCACCAGCACCTGGAGCGTGGGGAGAACCGTGGACATGGGAGACAGGGCTGGTTTGTGCGACGCGGTGGAAGGAAAATTGTGTTTGGTGCGCGCGTCCGAGAAAAGCAACAGAAATGGAAATGAAACGTGGTGGAGACAATATCTAAAAGATAATCAATGTAATCGTAATGTTTGATGGAGTGGTTTGAAGGAAAAATGAAAATTTCCAACAATTGAATGGTTGTTGCGAAGAATGGAAGCAAACTCAAAGCACTAATCAAGTGAGACAAATGGATTAGGAAATTGTGTGGGCATGGTAAATCAGTAAAAAATGGTTTAGGTTGGTGAAAAAAAATTGATCTTCGACTGTGTTTGACTTCCTCATAAACCGTAAGAGTTGAAATTGTATTCAAATCGATGTCAATTGCAAAAATCTGGACAATGCCAATTATATTTGAAAATCGACGCGTCCGTTTGAAATTTTCCAAAAAAAAAAAGAAGGGTCGACCTCGGTGAGGATTGAACTCACGATCTTGCGATTAACAGTCGCACGCCTTAACCAGCTTGGCCACGAAGTCCTATTCTGACCAAAATGGATTTGTGGTTTATCATACCTAGTATAATCAATGCCTGTTTTGGCGCCTCAAATCTTGAATTTTGGTGCTTTTTGTATTAAAATGCAATTAAGTAGTTTATAGTATATAGAATACTCACTTGGATTAGCTGAAGTACCAGTTTATCGTGATCCGGGAGAGGTTAATTCCCAAGCATAACGTCACCACCCACACCACTGCCAACGCCGGTAACACTCCCGCCACCACCACCGTTTGAATCCTCTTCACTGGGTTTTGCAGAGTAGTGGCGGCAGTAGCAAATGGCAACGCATTATAGCCATAAAACGAAATGATAAAGTAATAGGCCACCGCACCCAAGTACAACGTGTTGCCAATTAAAACTGCAAGCACTGTAGAAAAGGAGAATATCGGCAAAAGCACCAATTGCACCACATAGTTTAAGCACCAGATCATAATGAACGCATTACAGTGGACATCCCAACAGTAGCCCCAATCGACGGTAGAATAGCCCTGAAGCAACCGATTGACCACCAACCAGAACCCCAGGGCTACCACGGCCCCAATGGCAAAGAAATCAATCAATACCATATAAACAACGAGCTTAATCACCAGCCACCAGTGCGGCAGAAACACGAGCCCCCACGCCACTGCCAGCACCACTAAGCACAAGGTTTCGAGGATATAGAAACTGGGGTCGTCTCGCAGCTTCCCCATCAGCTTGTAGTACTGAGATTTGTACATTTTCTTTGGGTTTAGCACGAGCTGGGCCATTTCCCATACTGCCGTTTCCCAGTCCAAAGTCTGCGGTTTGAACAAGCGTCGCACCAACGTCTGGCCGTGGCGCCACGAGGCATCACCAACGCCATAAGGAAGAATTGACGCCATTAATTAAGCGTGGGTGAGGGGTATGGGTTGAGGCTCCTAGGTCTCGAGGGAGACACGGTTCACAATCCCTCACCGGAGCCGCACGCTATGTGCAGGAAACAATCTCGAGTAGAAGGAGGTAAAGAATTCAATTACAGGATCACCATTAAATTCATAATTTTTCTTTTCATCATTATAGGTTTATTGGGTTTCTATAACAAGCTCTATTTAGGGAGTCGTTGGAGTAAGACGGGCGCGTTCGAAGCGGGCGAGAGCAGCCTGGCGAGCGGCTTCTTTAGCACTACGACTGCCGTCAGGTTTTGGCGGGTCAACAATCTTCGGCGAAGCAGGTAAACTGGTGGTCACTGTAAGCGGTTGGCGAAGCCCTCGTTTAGGGATGATCCACACTGCAATAACCCCTAAAATGATGGTAATTTTGAGGAAGGCAGGGACGACAAACAGCCATATATAGGCCAGTTTAGCGAAGTATGTGGTCAGCGGCTGGTGCCAAGGGTCATTCGTAGCAGCAATAGCGGCCAGTATAACCAAGGGAACCACCAATGCCCTAGATTGGTGCATAGGTAGCTTTAAGGGAGAATGAGGAGAAATCGCTTTAAACGACTGAATATAGCTTGTAATCACAACAATTATCGCCGTGAGCCATACTACTCGGTGGAGTAATAATGCTGTACCTCTAGCCATCATCGTATAGGGGAGATCTTGTCCTTGGTCCCCATGTATAGGGTGATTTCGAGGATGAACCACGGCTAAGGCAGTACTGGATACCACTGAAACTAAGACGAATGCCTTCATATACCAAGTGGAAGTAGTTAAACGCTTTTGGTGGACAATGGCCGCGTCACCATTAGCATAGTAGCGAGTGCCAACTCCACGAGCTACTTGCCAAAGACCACAAAGACCAATAGCATTAGCCAATGAACCAAGGGCTTGAGCAGTCAATTGACCTAGCCAGACCCAAATCCTTTGGTTTTCAGGGACACCAGCACCAGCACCAAGCCAATTATTCGCCACAAACCACCACCCAATTTGAATTAGGGATAATAACATTAGCAACGAGATTGTAGAGGTTGTTATTTGACCAATGGCAGTAGTGGAAGCTGTTGTCAATTTAAGGATACCGTAGATCACCACCAAAAGAATAGTCGAGCCAAAAGTCACTTGGTAGAGCCAATAATGAGAATAGCTCAAAGCTCCGTAGTCATTAATAAATTCCACAGCAATGGCAGTAGGCGAATAGCCAGTATAAACACACCATTTACCACTTTCCTCCACTGAAATAACCACTTCTGGGTTAGTTTCACTGAGAACACCGCGGTGATCACCGAACACTTGCACCTCAGACCACGGCAATTTCACGCGTGACTGCTCTTCTGAGTATCGGTAGTGGTACTGGCGAGGCAGGGGGAGGCCGACGTCTCGAAATTTCGCTTCGGCGACGGCAATATACGCCACACTGGTCGATGTAAGGTATGTGGGTCGGAGGCGGATATTACCGGGGTTCTCGGGGGTACCACGCACGTAGTCACAGACTATGCCTGTATTATGGTCAATCACCCACCCTGCGAGTGCGTGAGCCGCTGCTATAGCCGCTGCTACCGCTGGCCACTTCATTCGCCGGCGCCTTTAATGGAATGGACGTTGCTTCGGATCATATGCTGAATTAGTCTCCCCGCGTCTACAGTGTCGAGGTTGAGCCGATGGTTATGAGTGATGGGGACTGTGTACACTAAACTAAGGCAAATCGTCGCCGAAGGAGGCGGATCACTGACGTCATCAACTCGCACCGAGAAGAAGTGAGAAATTCACCAATACTTAAAAATTGAAAGGGAAAAAAATCGATGTTTGATGTTAGAGTGGAAATGGGCCTAAGAAGACGAGGATAATTGGTTTAAGTTCAAAAATTGATGATTTGGCTCAGTTTCATGTTTTGGTAAAGACACGACGAATTCGTCAAATTGAGTGGGACACGACCCTTCGAGCAAACTATCCTGAAAAATTTCCAGCAAATGCTGGTAATCAGGTTGCAAAAATGGGGTTTAATAGTGAAGGTGTTAGTTTAAGATGAATGTAGCACCATGCGTTCATCTGCCAGCACCGAGCCGCTGGCAGAGCTTGCAAAAACATGTGTGCGCCTTGCTCTAAAAGACTGAAACGAAGTGGTGGCTGTGGCCCGATTGTTAGTCGGGTCAGCCAAGCCACTTAGCTATGGGTATCGGGGGCCGAGCCGCCGGGATTCACCTCACGTGCCCCGTCCGGAGCCCCAAGTCTTTATCAAATAAGTAAGTTATATTATAATAGTATAGTATAACCACTACTGATGATTAAAGAGGAGAAAAAAGGGTGCGGGTGTCGCGGTGTTTAAATAGTCGTCGCCAGATATGCCTCCTGCACACAGTGACGCGATGAGATGAGGCCCGCGCGATGCTCTTTGTATAGTGGTCAACCCTAATCCAATAACGCCACTCCCGCTTACCCTCACCAACATCCCATTATAAAAAATGTCGGCAACCATCGAGGCACAGGTGCCCCAGTTGATTGCCTGGCTCAACGATAATGGTTTCTGGCGCGAAGACCTCGTCGTCCAGCAACTGCGGCTCGGCGGGCTCGGTGTCTTCGGCCAGTTCGACGACGGCGACCCCTTAGTGCTTAGAATTCCCAAACTGAACGTGCTCAGTGCCAAGACTAGTGGTATATACAACTTGTTGTATGATTACGAGCCGGAAATCGACGATGTTGACTTTAAACTGGGGATGTTCCCTTTAATAATTGCCACCATTTATGAAGTATCTGCTGGTCCTAAGCTGCCGTGGGCGGGCTATTTGAGCCTGGTTGACTTTGCTCATTCTGATGTCCCCATCTGTCTTTGGAGCGACGCCGATAAGGCCAATTTGGCCAACACTGAAGTGGACTTGATGGGGGTGTTGAACCCTCAGGAATTGATGCAATTCTTCGACGAAGCCCGTCGGTTTGCTAATGAAATCAAAATTCACGTGCCTGTACCTTCAGTTCTCTCAGGAGTGGGTCAATTGGTGGAATTTTCCAAATACGTCCAGGGAGTGGTATCGCGAGCATTTGTTGTTGACGACCATTTAGGGCTCGCCCTCGTGCCTGGTGCCGATCTCTTTAACCATCTCAGTCCGGTGATTGTCGATGGTAAGCCTCAGGCCCGGGAAAACGTCCATTTCGTGTGTGATAACGACGTGTGTGAAGTGTGTGGTGAGCGGGAGTGCAACCACGGCGACGTCGAGGAGGATGACGAGGAAATGGACGTAGATCAGTTAATGGAAGAATTGAAGGATGAAGTTGACGATGATGAGATCTATGATGATGATAACGACGACGCTAATGATGATGATGATGATGACGTCGAAAATGATAATGAAGGCGACGAAATTGATGATGACGAAGCCGATGAGGATGAAACTGATGACAGTGATGAAGGCGATGATGATGAAGGTGATGAAGGTGATGATGATGAAATTGGTAATGAGGAAATGGAAGAGGTGGAGGAGTTAACGGAAATTACGGAAGAGGTGATTAAAGCGTTTGAAGCGGAACAAGAAGAGGACGACGATACCGATTGTGATGACGACGAAGCCCTGACCATCGACCAGGTACAAATCTCGTCTCACGACTACGATTTGGCGCGTGAATTGAGTGATGACTCTAAGTGTTGCGATTTAGTACTTCAACTGTTACCGTCAGCTGACCACGAATTCGAAGTGTTTAACACTTATGGCAATGACTTAAGTAATGCCTACTTGCTTCAGCGGTACGGGTTCGTCTGTCCCGGTAACGCCAATGACGGCATTTCTTTAGGGGTGCCATTAATCAAGTTGGTGAAGCTGAAACGGGCGGAACTGAAGATGGAATGGCTTGACGACGTGTTTGAACTCGTATGTGAATTGATCCATCAGAAACAACACGAAAACGAGCCACAAAATGAGGTCAATGGCCACAACGACCAAGAACACGAACACTCTGAAAATGGCTGTGCTGATGGCTGTAACGAAGGAGACAATTGTGGCGATGGTTGTGGCGATGAAGACGATTGTGGAGACCACGGGTTCCTGCCGGATCTGTGGCAAGTGTCCGCTCGTATTGGGGCTGACGGCACTGTATCTCCTCACACTTACGTCATCCTTCGACTCATAGACTTACCGGAAAAGGTATTCAAGTATAAGCTTGCCAGAGTGCAAAAGGAGCGGGTGCTTGCGCTGCGGATTTCGAGATTATTGATGAACGCTGACAGCAATGATAACTCCAAATACGATGGAGTTATCAAGACGTGGTGTCAGCAGAGACTTGCGGCGTACCCGGAGCTTAAACTGAGCGACCATGCTGAGGTGATTGGCGAGCTTGTAAAGGGGGAAAAGGCGATTTTAACTAGGTTTATTGGGGCATAGGTATTTATAGACAAAACAAATAGACATTCATTCTAACAGTTGATAGAGAGGGTTTAATGGAACGATTGTGGAATCACACTGTAATGATAAATTAAGAGGTTTAGGATTCGAAGTGCTGATTTGTAAAAATTCAACAGATGTTCTTACTTGTGTAGAATTACTGCCAAATTCGCGAAACAGGTCAAACATGAATTTGTATTAAGTAAATTAGTTCGATTTCATGGACCACGAAATTGGAATAAAGCTCAGCAGAAGTGGTCAAAGTGGGTAAAAATATGCTAGGAATTGAAATTGACATTTAACACTACTATTAGAATATCTACTGTCCTTATTGACTGGTCAGAACTGACCACTACTCAGAACAATTGTAAAAGATTCCCAAACAAACTACAGCCACCTAGTTTCATCATCATCTGAAATTCACTTAAAATTTGCCTTATTTGTATCTCATATTTCGATGGTGTTTGGCTTACCCCTGAAACACCACCACTGATCTCTCCATCGCGACGCGGTGGACGCGACATGACGGGGCGGAGGAAGCAGCTTGCCATTAGCGATTTCTTCAAGGCAAAGGATAAGCCTGATGGAAACAAGGCTAAAACGACGACTCCGGAACCGGCGAAGGGACCCAATCCGCTAGCCCAGTTCTCGCTGCTGCGCCTGAGGGAGACCAGTACTGAGACTACACCCCCATCAAAGAGACCTAAGATTAGCTCTGGTGGCGATGGCAGCGACTCCAAATTGTCCCGGGTGGGTAAGAAATCAAATATCGCCACTAAGATTACTCGAAAATCCAGTGGAAAGCTCACTCCGCTCGAACAACAAGTGCTCGAATTAAAACGAGACCACCCGGATAAAATGATGGTTATCCAAGTGGGGTACAAATATAAGTTGTTTGGTGAGGATGCGAGGGCTGCTGCTAAAGCGTTGGATATCATGTTTATCACGCGAGACGATAAGGAAGGCCAGTTTTCGTACTGTAGTTTTCCTGATGTCAGACTCCATATTAACCTTAAACGGTTACTTGTTCATGGACATAAGGTGGGTGTGGTGAAACAGATGGAGCTGGCAATTGTTAATGAAGTGGAGAAGACCGGAAGCGAAGTAATGCAACGGCAATTGACCGGTGTCTATACTCAGGGTACCTATTTAGGCGATGAGAGCGAGGAGATGAAGACTCATGAAGAACATGGAGCCTATATTGCCGCAGTCTATGCTCATGACGGCCAGGTATCGTTTGTGGCGGCTCACCCCAGGACGGGGGATGTGGTTCACGATCTGTTTGTGGCTGATCGCATTGAATTTGATACCAGATTCCGGTTTCTTAATCCAAGTGAAACGATAATCTTAGGTGATGAACCGAATGTTGATCACTGGTTAAGAATAGCCAATCCTCAAACGCAGATTATGAGGGAGCTGCCAATGACTGGTGATGATGCTGCTCAAGTCTTAAAAACCTATTTTGAACAACAGGAACGACTGGAGCTGTTTACTGCTTACCAACAATTATCCCCTGAACTTCAACAGTGTGTGGTTGCTCTTAAAAATTACCTCGAGGAGTTTAAACTTGCGCTGATGCTTACGGTGGCCGATAACCTCCGTCTGTTCCAGGACCGGCTGCGGTATATGGTACTTTCCGATGCTACCTGTCGAGCTCTTGACGTGTTTGAGCTGACCGATGGTGCTACCAAGTATACATTGTTCTGGCAATTAAACCAGACACGCACTCGTTTTGGCCAGAGAATGCTCTACCAGTGGTTGAAACAACCATTAATCGATCGTGAAGAGATTGCTCAGCGCCATCAAGCGATTGAAGACTTGGGTAAAGGCGTACAAGCGGTAAACGTGCTTGTGGAATCGCTTAGTTCTACGATTGGCCGGGTCGATTTAGAAGAGCTCTTGATGAAGGTTCACTACGGGAGAATCAAAAGAAAGGATGTGTTTACTTTGCTTGATAAGCTTAACCACGTGATGGAAACCACCGTCAAGTTTGATCGTCAAATTAATGAGCTTACGGGGACGGTACTGCTGACGTCATTGCTTCGGTGTATTCACACGTTACAAAAGATAGCTGCCACTCAGTGTACTCAGCGGTTAATCGCTAAGATTAGAGTCCAATTTAAAGAGTTTAAGGAACCTGAGCGACAAGCCACTGAGTTTTTCAATACCGATATCGATGCTTTTGGTGGAGCGATCGACGCTGAACGCGAGAAAATCTCGGAAATTGAGGACCAAATCGAGGATGAATTGAAACGAGTACGCCAAGTGTTGAATCGCCCGCAATTATCGTGGCTTACTAATAATAAGGAGCCCTATTTGGTTGAAGTACGCAATGGTAAGGATGTTGACAGGCTCCCAGGTGATTTTGAGCGGGTTAATGGTACCAAGACCGTATCGAGATTTCGTACGCTGGAGACTAATCGGCTTTATAAGCTATTACAGTATCACCAGGAACGGTTAGTGATGGTGTGTGATCAGACTTACCAGCTCTTCTTGAAGCAAATTGATGAGGAATACGGTCAGTTAGCGGAAGCCGTGAGTGCGTTAGCCGAGTTGGATTGTCTTGTGGCTTTAAGAGAAGCGTCTTCTCGGTTTGGTGATGTCTGTCGTCCGCAAATGGTCGACGAACAAGTGATTGAAGTGGAGCTGGGGGTTCACCCGGTGCTCTCGGCGATAAGCGAACCCGTGGCTAACAACACCGAACTCAATGTTGATAAAGACCGTGTGTTTATCATTACTGGTCCCAATATGGGCGGTAAACTGAGTTACGTGAAGCAAGTAGCTCTATTTGCCATCATGGCCCAAGTGGGGTGTTGGCTCCCAGCAAAGCTGGCGAAGATGGGAGTGTTTGATCGCGTATTTTTGAGAATGGGAGCTTCCGATGATATCCTCAGAGGCCAGCTGACGTTTATGACGGAGATGCAAGAGTGTGCTCAAATCATCGACGAAATGACCCCTAAACTGTTGATAATATTGGATGAGATTGGCAGAGGTACGGGTACTACCGACGGTGTGGCTCTAGCGCTGTCTATTCTCCAGTACCTCGTTGAAGACTCCCTCAAACCATTAGTCTTATTTATCACTCATTACCCCAGTCTCCACACGTTGGACCATTTCCTGGGGGTGAAAAACTACCATATGGGCTACCAACAGATTCACGACACCAACAATGATGATGAGATCCCCGAGGTGATCTTTTTGTATACGTTGGAGCCAGGGGTGGCTAATAGTTCCTACGGGCTAAATGTGGCGAAAATCGCCGGTATTCCTGACGACGTGATCCGCCAAGCTCATGATAGAAGCGCCGCTCTCCAGGCACGCGTCGAGTCGGCGAGAACCGAGAAATTGACGCAATTGATGGCGTGGGCCACGTCTTAAGTGACCCGTTAGTGGTGTACAAGATGTATGGAAATTTATCGAAGGTCGATGCGCGCGCCCCGGGCACGCAACCAGGATTGCATAAAATTTCTCACCCGCCCCCGTCCGGTGATCGCATCCATCATCCTCCACAAAACATGTCCTTCTTGAAGAACGCCGCCTCGCTCAAGCCGTTGTTTGACAGAGTCCTCGTCCAGAGACTCAAGCCCGCCTCCAAGACCGCCCTGGGGTTGTACATCCCCGAAAAGAACCAGGAAAAGTTGCCTGAAGGCACCGTGATCGCCACCGGCCCTGGTGTCATCAACCCGTCCACCGGCGACGTCATCCCCACCTCGGTCGCTGCCGGCGACAAGGTGTTGTTGCCCTCGTACGGCGGCTCCCCGATCAAGATCGGCGACGAAGAGTACTTGTTGTACACCGACAAGGAGTTGTTGGCCAAGATCGAGTAGACCCTGTATATAATAAGCCAGTAAACAACCCTTCAGCGACTCAGCAATTGTAGGAGCAATATTTTCTTATTGGTCGTAAACTTGGTGGCTGAAGTCAGTGGCTGGTGCTCACCGCGACCGGTATCCGGTTACAGCAACGGAGTTCGGAATATTGAGTGAAAAATTGGAAAATAGCTCTTCGTACAAAATCAGGCAGTATATCTCGTACTTGGTGATATGCTCAAGATATTGGGGGATGTAACTTTTCCATGAATCAGTTGAGATATCGTCCTTGCTTAAGTTGGTGAAGTACTAGTTGTGGCGAAGAATCCATCACAATTGCGAACCTGCTTCGTCAGATAACAGAATTAAACAACCATCGAGCAAGGGCAATATAGCAGGATATTAGATAACTCCAACTTTCAATAGCTACCACAGTCTGCTTCCACTGTTCGCACACATAGTGAAAGTCGGGCACTCAAAAATCATGAGGCGGAGCGATTGTTGAAGCCAAGCGCTAACTAAAGCTGGCCATACCACGAAGTAGTAGCCATACACCAAGTTTGAAGTGGGCCTAGCTGGTATTTCGGGTGCTATCTGTCAAAAGGGCGTCTGGGGGCTAAGGTGCGGGTGCAGCTCCATTTGAGAAGGTAGTAGTGCTTAGGCGAAGTGGCCAAAAAGGCACCTTTCTGATACCAGAAACAAATCAGATCGCTTAATAAAACCAGTAGCACGACTGTTGTCAGCTGGGGATCATGTCAGTTAACGTTATCATCATCGCATCATTTGGGGAACCACACTCCACGCTTATCGTAATTATGGTTGTCAAAAACCAGCTTATAGTCGAATTTCCTTTAGCTTTACGTATGCCAAGGACCAAATGATGCAAACGGTTTTCCTTGAGAACGGCTTGTTTTCCGCTGATCCGAGTACTTGAATTTTATTAAGATCTTGGAAGATCAGGTTCACTAACGACATTTTCCCGCTTTTCGATTTTGATTAGTCAGGTAGTGCAAAAGTCATCATTAGCCGTGTCGATGGCATTGCTTCGCTTACAGCATATTGTTTGTGTAACCGCCGATCGCGTCCGATAGTCGGCAATAAAGTTCGGCAATGAACCTTGACACGTCATGGGGATTAAGACAGGGTGTCGACGCCTGGATGGTTCCAGACCCACGGCCCAATTGGTGTACGTGTCACATGGGAATTACGTGTACTTCTTGGTTCTATTTTAAGACTTCTCTCTCGTCTGTGGTCTATCTATAGCCCCACGTGAGGCTGATACCGCCCGCCGCTAACGGGAAATCTATGTCCGTCGTATTCCCAGACACACTGACGACTATGGCGACCGATAGTTGACGGGTGCAGCACAGCAATACCAGGTGTACCAGCGCCTAAAATATTTATGCCTAATGTACATGGTAGATACGAGCCCTGGTTTTCTGCTTCGCTACCCTTAAAATCAAAGGTTAATTACTACATCCCCCTCTGTACGGTAAAAGCACCCAGCCGTCATTAATATTGACCGTGTCATCGTGCAGAGCAATTTCAACCCACAAAACTAGGGGGCTACCACACAATGCCTCGCTATCAGCAGCCACTCACAGCCACTGCCACAGCCTCTCACCCAGCGCCAGCCGTGTCCCTATCTCGTATTCACTGATGGCTTTTCGAGGGGTGAAGCGGAGAAACGGGGCTGATCCTTCGAGAAACCGACTATCTCGTGTATCTTGTTTGGCGCCCTAGCCTTGGCGGTTGGCTTTTTGAGGGGTTCAGTTTAGAGATCTCGTCTTGGCCCGAGCCGCGGAGATAAACGGACACCATATTTGTAATAGAGAGAGGGGGGTAGCGGCGGGTAGCGGCATTCGCCGTAGAGCCCATGGTGGTTTGCTTTCGGGTGGGGGGGAAGGCGGTCGTGCGCCAACCAAATTTACCCGATACCGGCGAGTGACACCACATCCACGAATTACATCGGCAAAACCAACTGCCACGGCGGGAAAATGACACTCGTTTACAATAATCTGTAATTGTGACGCGATATGATTCATGACTATCACTCGCCTATTGGAGCAAAAATATCTGTGCCTCCCCCCCGTGGATGACATAATCTGTCGTGTAAAATGCTAGCTTCCAGATCGGAGTTATTGAGGAACGACTCCGATGCTGGTCG